TGCTGGCTCCTAAACCATGTGAAGATGCGTCTACCTGAATTTGGACCTCTTTTGACGTCTTGAAGAATGAGAGTACAGGAGAAGATGAAAGAACCTGTTTAATTTTTTCCATAGCACTGGAATGTTCATGGTTCTATGACCAGTGTGTGTGTTTTTTTAAGCAGCTGGCGAAAGGCAGCTGTTATCGCTGATATATTTAGAATGAATTGTTGACCATTCCTAAGAGCCGTTGCAAATCTGTTTGACATGCAGGCGATGGGTATGCAGATATGGCTTTAGTTTTTTCAGGATCAACTCTTATGCCTTCATGGCTGATTATGTTGCCAAGATACTTGACCTCAGATACTTGAAATTGTATTTTCTTAAGGTTGAATCTGATGTTTCTTTCACGAGCTCGTTGTAGAACTTGTTAGAAAATTGTATCATGCTCTGTATCTGTTTTAGCTGCAATAAACAAGTCATTGTGAATAGCAAGAACATTAGGTGTTAATTTATCGTTTTCTTTAATTGTGAAAACGAATGTATTATATACTCTTACAGCGTCTTAGCCAATCATATGAAGAAAAATGGCGCATTAAATATCTTCATTCTTGTCATTGACTACTGAAGCTATTTTATAAACATTCCATCTTTGCTTCCATTTTCACTAGTTTTCTGAAACATTGCCATTTAAATTCAAGGCTTCTAATAGTCTAAGTTGTTCCATTTTATTTGAAACACAGGTTTACTTCTGGTACCATGTAATATTCTGAGGATAATGTTAGACTAAGAATTAAATACAACAATGTTTAAAGCATGCAGAACGCCATATTTATTTCAAGTTATAATAATAACACAAGGAAGGTGTGTATTAGGTCGACACAGTTATTACAAGTGCTGAATAGGGTGACAAGACTAGAGGAGCATTATGATCAATTTAAACTTTTCAAAAACTGTATTTTATTCAAGAGAAATTTATTTCTTACCACTAACTTATTTCTAAGTGAGTTATAAACAATAATTAAAACCATATACTTTTTAAGTATATAGTTTTTATACAAAGTAAAAATAGAAGTGTAAATGTCATGTCATATTTGACATTTAGTAAATTGTTAAATGCACTTTCTTACAGAAAGAATCATACTTTAGTTATCAAACAGAAAGTTAAAAATTATAACAGGACTTGCTGAAAATAAATATTTTTAATATACTTGTTCTTATTGCCTTCCTTCATGATTATTTAATTTTTTTTTTTAACTTTTAAAATATAATTAGTTTGAGATCCTCAAATAACATTTACTTACGGGGCTGGAAAAAAATTTATAATTAAAAATTTATATATCAAAATTTTATATATTAAAATTTTATGCTTACATTTACTATTTATTAAATACTGGCATATATTTATATATTTTTAAACTCTTATTTACTTCCACCAAGATTGCAAGCAACCATTTATTTAGTTATGAGTTACTTTAAAATAGAGAATAAGTAAAAATACTAGGAAATAGTTAACTGAAGACTTGAAAAGTTGTAGGTTGTATATAAAAGAAAAATATGAAGATGGCTAATAATTATAAAGTATTTTTGATGTGCAAGGAAAAAAACTGGATTAATAAAAGTTTTTTTAGCATAAAGGATAGAGTAAAAAGATGCAACTTGTTGAATAAGAAACAAACATAAATGAGTTTTGGTTAATCGTAATAGAGATGATGGGTTGTTTAAATACTCACCATGATTGTATTTGTAGAAAAAAGAAAGAAATGTAACCTTACAAAAATGGGAGAGTAACTCAAGCTTGGCAGATAAAGCAGATCTAATTTATTATTTATTTTTTATGTTAATTCACCTATCCAAGGTTAAAAACACCACTACAGATGAGGAGGCTTTTTAATTGTAGTTATAACCTTTTCTCTCAACTATATAACTCTGAAACATGAACCTTGAAAAGCAAGGCAGCTGCACAGGGAAACAAATTGAGCGCGGTACTACCAGGGATGTGTTTGGGAATGAACCATTATCACATCTTTGTAATGTCGCTTATCTTTCTCTTTTCTACAAATACTATAATGGGCACTGCTCTAAAGATCTAATGCCTCTTGTGCCATCTACTAAAAATCATTTTTGTGTTATGCTTCATTCAATTAAGTCTCATCTTTATTCTGTGACAGTTCCTAAGTGCTCCAAAAACTATTATTCCACTAGTTTTTTCCCTCCAACATCAGTTTTTTGGAATTCACTTACTTCATCTTGCTTTCCTGATACATAGATTTTGTATCAGGAAAGCTTTCAAGTGTCTGTCAATCGTTACCTTGCTCCACAATATTCATCTTTTCTCTTCCAGTAACTTCCAACTCTAATTAGTGGTTGCTTGCAGCCTTGTTGGGAGCAAAGATGTGAAAAAAAAAAAAAAAAAACATTTTTGCTGTTTTCCAGCTTTTTGATTTTTAAAAAGCTAGAAAACTTAACAGAGATAAAATATTATTGTCATATGAAAGTTATTTGCACAAACAAAAGCATGATACTTTTAACTACCACTTCCTGTTTAAAAAAGCACTCTACAATGATAAATAATAGCAACAATACCCTAATTGATTAAAATTTAAATTTTTATAACATATTTTTTTTTTCGTCATAAAACAGCAATTTAACTAGCACTACTATTAACTATTAAAACATTGAAAGACCACTAGCACTAAATATATTTTCCTATATTTTGTTATAAATCTTTACAGAAATAAAAATTTTTTTTGAAGTTGTGATTTTGTTTGACATGCATTTTTAATTGTATTGGTTAAATCATACAAGTATATATATATATATATATATATATATATATATATATATATATATATATATATATATATATATATATATATATATATATATATATATATATATATATATATATATATATATATATATATATATATATGTATATATAAATGTATTAATGAACTTATGGTTTAAAAGGAAGTCAAGGAAAATCAAGATCCAGGCCTCCTTCAAACTTGAAGGAGGCCTGGATCTAGCCTGCTCACTTCTGTACCTAATAGTGTACCCCTATGTGGTAAATTTTTGTATAAGTTTTTAACTTTTTTTTTTTAACTAATGGCAACTATATACTATACAAATTTGTATATAAAAATCAAATTTTTGTTAATATGTTAACTAATGGCAACTATATACTTTACAAATTTGTATATAAAAATTAAACCATCATGCTTTCATATATTGGCCAATGCATATTCAATCTCATATTCAATCTTTCTAGTATTTTAATGTATGGTAAAAACCTCAGATAAGATAAAAGGTAATATCTCATTTACATATTTTGGTGTCACTAGCCTACTAAAGCAACTATATTCAAAAAGTATAATTAGTCCTGCTTCATACTTGACAGGAACATTTGACTTATTAAATACTAGATATGTAATACTTCTATTTTCCATTAGGATTTAACAAATTTTCTTGTGTTTTTCTGTAATAACTTGAGTAAGTATTTTATTTAAAGTTCTTCTTTTGATTTTTCTAAAGAGATTCAGATTGCACTTTTCAGCATTTATAAAAATTGAACAACTGTTTTTCCAATTTACCACTATCAAAATAATCCTGCATCAAAATATTGTTGTTCAAAGATTTATTTAATAAATATGAGATAGTTAAAAAAGAGTTTGCAGGTATGAGAATGTCCAAACTCTTTTTTAACAATCTCATTTTATATCAGTCCCATGATTATATCATGAAGTATAATAAAGACCCTTTCGCCATTCTACTTGTTACGCCAATGCAGTTCAACAAAAATCCACACTCTGTTTTCAATTGAACAGAAGTAGTTTTATTTAACACATAATATTTGTGTTTAAAGTATAAGCCTTCAGTTTGACAACCATTTGTTTGTGCTGAACAGTGCTGAATATTTATGCAAAAGCTGCTAAATGCATGTTACAATAAGACTTGAAAAAAATGGTACTTTGAGTAAAGTCATGTTGATCCGTACTTTTCAAGTTTTGGCTTTAAAAAACATCATCATCATAATGATAAAAAACATCATAAATATTCACTGTCTCATGAGATAATTAAGTAACAAAAACTTTTAACTTTAAAAAATAAACATTTTAAATAAAATACTTTCTTTTAACAATCTTAAACATATACATTGGTGATGTTTGGATATTATAATAAAATGAAACATTTACTTTTTTAATAATCTATTTAAGAATCAAAATCAGAAATAAGCATCAAGCTTTAGGCTTGGAAGTTATTCTAATTACTACACTTATTTTTCATTTATGTTTTTATTTTTCTCACTTTTCTCAAGAGAAAAATATTTATCTTTATTTTTTACCACTAACTTTGTTGAAGTTAGTTATAATTAATAATTAAAACTATATACTTTTTAAATATATAGTTTTTATACAAAGTAAAATTAGAAGTGTGGATGTCATGTCATATTTGGTATTTTTAAAGTTGTCAAAAGAACTTTCTTACAAAAAGGGATCATACTTTAGTTATCAAATAAAAAGTTGACAATTGTAACAAGTCTTTTTGAAAATAAATATTTTTATTGTACTTGTTTTTATTGCCTTACTTTGTGATTATTTAATGATTTATTTTTATTTTTTAGTTTTTAACTAATCTTAACACTATATGAAACTTTAGTTTTTAAGAAAAAGTGTTTAACGTAATACAATAAAATGTGTCTGCCAATAGAAAAAAATAACTTTAAATTACAGAATATTAATTAAGTTCAATAGAAAAAACTGAAAGCAAATGAAAAAGTGGCATTGAAGCCTTTTTTTGCCCTATGTATTTTTATATTAAGGTTTACTTATAATATTTCAATATAATTAAGGGTATAAAAGTATATAGAGTTATGAGCTCAGTTATCAAAACGAATTTTTTTTTTTTTGTTACAATAATATTATGAACAAGTAAATAAATTTAAATATTTAAATTGTTCATCCAAAACTTACAACTATCCAAATTTCACAATGTTTCAATATTAAAAACAAGCTCACCTGTTTACTCAACTTTCTTTTGATGCCAAATTGAAAAAATAAAATTTTTTAGGAGTAGTCTAATAACTAATCACAATTATTATTGGACTTTAAAACAATACCACACACCCATTTGTTGAGAGCCTTCTCACATTACTTCTTATGTTACACTTTAGCTGCGATTTGTTGGAAAATCTCTTTGTAAATTCCGGGTGAATACAAGAAACTTATTTTGAGATTATTGCTTTTTTAGTTTTAGATATTGTTATCTAAAGATGATAATATCTACAAAACTTGATTTTCTGGCGATAATACGAAAGATGTATTAATTTTTGAAGAAAGGAGGCTAGAAAGAAGTTTTCAAATGTTATTAAAGACCTCCTTTTTTTTGAAGTGTCTATTCGCACGACCATCGTGCAAATAACAAAAATAAACTTATTCGCACGACCGTGGTGCAAATAACGAAAATGACGACCGTCGTGTAAATAACGAAATGAAGCTTATTCGCACGACCTCGGTTATATATAAACTATAAATATAATACGCATGAGGTAGAATTCAATCAGGAAGCTTGTTTGAAATAAACTGATTTATTTAATTTATTTTTGCCATAAATATGATTGCATAATAAACCTAAATTATATTTTTAGTTTCAGCTTATCAAATTAGTCATGAATATTGAAATTAAACAAGGAGATGAGTTTGATAACTTTGCTGAATTTGAAAATAAATTGGCTTCTTGGTCGTCAATTTCTAACATTTTGTGGACTAAATGTAACAGCAAAACTGTTTCATTGGCTAATAAGGGTTTGAGTCAGAATTCAAAACATTTTGATGAGAAGTTTAAATTTAAAATGTAACATATTTATGCAAGCATGGAGGAGTTAAGAGAACAAAAGGGAAAGGAATTCGCCCAAATCAAAGGTTTTAAATGTTTTGTTTATCTAATTTCTTTTTACCTAAAAGTTTTTCTAAAAGAAAAGAAATAATATTTTATTTGTGTATACTAAGTTTCATTTTAATTATTTTTTGCTTGTTTTTGACTGGCTTGTGGAAGCTGGCATTCACTACCCACTAATAGAACTCAATAATTTTCAGAAAATAAAGATTTTCACTACTTTTTTTTTATCTCTTTTAAAATTGGATGTAGTGCCAAACTTTATATTAGTATTAATAAAGATAAAACAAAACTAGTAGTACAGCAACTTCAGGCTAACCATAACCATGAAGTCAGCAGGTTAGTACAACTATATTTTATTATTAGTTTATTTTGTAAAAAATTGTACATTTTTTTTTACTTTTTTGAGTTATTTTGTATTTTTTATTGTAATTTTTATTTTTAAATTTTTTTTTATTTAAATTTATATTTATGCCTTCATAGAACTGCTTTTATGCATTACCTTGAACAACGCCGGTTAAGTGAAATAGCTAAAGATGATACTGGCACAATGTTAATGTTAAAATAAACTTGGTTACAATGTTAAAAATAATAATCACACACAATGTTAAAAATAAACTTGGTGTTAAAGTCTGTTTTTTAAAAGAATATTTAAAAAATAAAGAATGAAAAATAGTTACATCGAAAGATTTATTCAACAAAAATAAAAAAATTGAACTAGAACGCATTTGTAAAAAATCAAATGAGGCTTTATTGATCGATGAACTCATGTCCTTCTGTAAGCCTTCTGCTCTAAATTTTTTTTTTCAGTTTTTGTATTTTACAGGATTTATGATTTAGAGTATATACATAAAGGCAGCAAACGCCTGATAGTTTTAACCTAAGTGTATTCAGAGATTTATTCAGAGGTTTATTTTACTTTGAGTTAAATGGGTTATAATTCAACTATAGTTTAAATAATACACTTTATTAATCAATTTGTTTTATTTATATATTATTTAAAAGTTTTAGTTAAAGTTTGATTTTTAATTTCAGGTGAAAAAGATGCAGTTATATCTGTTCAAGTTGATTCGGTGTTCTGCAGTTTCTTTTTTAAATAAGTGGAGATATGCAACAAGTGTTTGATATGTTTCCTGAAGTGCTAATGATTGACTGCACATATTGCACAAACAAATTAAGAATTCCTTTATTCACTCTGTTGTCATTCTTGACAAGGACCTGAAAGAAATAGGTGCAGTTTCCAAGGTTATGCGTACAGCAGAAATCCAACTGTGTATGTTTCATGTTTTGCAAGCATTTTATAGATTTTTAAATAAACAAGGTTTAGCTAGTATAGAAAAAGATAATCTAAAAAAAATATTTAAATCGCTTGTGTATGCAAAATCAAAGAAATTGTTTGATATAAATTTGGGTCATCTTGCAACAGTTGCACCAAAAGTTGTAATGGCATACTACAATAAAAATTGGGGCTTGCCACACCAAGTTAAGTATTGGGCATACAATGAAACTATCAAGTATGTCAATCTTGGTAATACAACAAAAAACAGATCCGAGTCCCATAACCAAAAAATTAAAAACATATTGTCTAGGAAAATGTCCTTAGCAAAGGCAGTAAAAGGTATCTTTTTGTTACATACTTGTAAATTTGAACAAATGGCTCATATTGAGTTTGAAGAAAAAATTGATTCCTTAAATTTAATTTATAAATTGTGGTTAGCTTAGGAAAAAAGTTACAATTTATGATATGGAAGCGCAAGCATTGCCTAAAATCTCTAATTTGCCTTAAGTGTCTGCTTTGCCTGAAATCTCGGATTTGCCTAAAATGTCAGATTTTCTAGAAACGTCAGAGTTGCCCGAAATGTCTGATTTGCCAGAGATGTCCAGTTCTCCAAACTTTTCTGAATCTTTGTTCTCTGCTTTACCATCTAGTCTAAATTTAAATGAACAACTTCAAAATCAAGGAAGCGTTTTATCTCCAAATGACAGCGTAAACTTCAAAGATCTTCCTACAACTAAATCTGAATGCTGCACCGGCCAAGCAATAAATATTTTTAATAACTTAGCAAATGTATGCTTACCTAAAGTTCCTCCAGTTGTAGGAAATGTCAAGATTAAAAAAGCAAGGCTCAAAAGAAAGCGGGATTTGTATAGAGATCCTTACCATCAATCGTGTCAGCGAATTTTAGGCAAAACGGCTCATAAGGAACAGTTATTAAAAAAGCAACTCTCTGTCATAGATCTTCAACTATTCTCCATTAAGAACTCATTCGAGAATTTATCTGATTTACACATAAACAAAGCACAAGAGCTTTTATCCATGCAGTTTTTAGTTTTAAAAGGATTACAAGACCCTATTCTTGGTTCAAAACTCCATTTTAGAGTGCAATCTGGAAAGTTTGTTCAAATTTTACATAATGGCTTACCATTTCAAATTTTTTAGTACCCATCTTAACTCAGTTGATGTTTTTGATTCCTTAAATTATGACTTTAGTGTTAGTGAAAAGATGCAAGTAGGATCAATCATGATGGTTAAAGAACCTTTTTTGAAATTACAGTTCAAAGATTTCCAAAAACAATCTGGTGGGCTTTATTGTGGTCTTTTTGCAATTGCAGCGGCAACGGATTTATGTTACAATTATGATCCAAGCATAAAATGCTATAAGCAAGAACTTATGCGAGATTATTTGTTAAAATGCTTCAGTGACAATTACTTAACGCCATTCCCTATAGAGACTAATGAACGAAAAAAGAAAAAATAACCTAAACCAATTAATTTACCACTATATTGCATATGTCGTCTTCCTGATAATAAAGAAGAAAAAATGGTTAAATGCGACAACTGTAAGGAATGGTTTCACGTTTCATGCCTTTCCATTCCAAAGAATATATTTGATAATTCTGACAACTCTTTACATTGGCATTGTAATTCATGCAGCTAACTAAGGTATTTTATTTAAGGAGCGGGTATTTATTAGTTTTTGAAAATTTTGCCACCTATTCTAAGCGTATTAAGACCCCCTACCCCCGTTTATTGATATACTTGTTAACAATAAAAAATTTACATCTCAAAACTTTAAAAAAAATTAAAAAATATATATTATTAACCGATAAAAAATAAAAACTTTTCCCATCAACCCTTTTATTACGCCTGTCCACACCCCGTTAATTAGATCTGGGATAAAATTCCCATTCCTTTTATTTCCCTCCAAATTCCTTTTATTTCCCTCCAAAATTCCCTGTATGAAATAAGAATAAATTATTTTTTTTACTTTACCTATCAATACCTTATATGTTTTACAATACCAATAGTATTGTTCCTTTACGTTTGTTTACCCTAAGGTGCTTAGGGTTTAAGCATCTTATAGTAAATAAACGTAAAGAAACAATAATCGATAGATGTAAAATATATAAGGCATCAATAGGTAAAGTAAATAAAAAATTATATTTTATTTCCTTTTCTTACATCCATTTTAAAAGAATTTGAAATGGGTGTGCAAACTAAATTTTTATGTTTTAGTATGTCGAGATATCAAAGCTAATCAGTATAAACGGTATTATGTAAGTTTAAATTAGTTGCACAGTATACACAGTAATTGCGATTATATAAAAATAGATCAAATATAAGTGTATAGAAGTTAAAATTTAATATTAACATAGTCAATATGTACATCAGAAAATATAATCTATTTTGAACTCTGTATTTGGAGTTTACGGCGTAATATATACTATATATATCACGCCTTAACATATTAGTGACTATACTTGTCCAGACTTATCATTGCAGAGAATGTATAAATACAATTAAAAGAATTCAGTATCGAACCGCAAAATTGGGTTAAGACACTTATCATCTAATATACGACAAACGTTTAACAAGTCTTAGTTCAAACTACCCTTCACTTTCACTCTTAACACGGTTACCTTTCAAACTCGCCGTGTGCGTAGTGACCTTAAACAGCGTAGTGAACTTATACAATTAGTACAAAATAATTAATAGAATTGATTGAATTAATTTTGTAACGTCATAAATCGGACCAGTTTATTGAGTATCTAAGTAAAGTCTTAGAACAAGCCGAATAATTTGAATAAGAAGCCGAAGTTTTTTTGAAACATGATAAAAGACATAATTTTTTTACAAATGCTGTAGTAAAAAAACTGGAATTCTTTGTTAACTGCCACATTAGACTACCACCATCGCTAAAAAATTTTAATGGTGGACTTAGATATTGGCTCGCGTAGCTATAATTGCAAATTTTGTAAGAAAATAGGGATCCTTGCCTGCTTTTTTCCATCAGAATAATTAGGATGTGCATTTTAAACAAATTTTATACCATGAATTGTTGTTGTTGTTTTTTTAATTTCAATTAATTTGTAAATGTACACATGTAATATACATATACATGCATATAATAGTCGTGCTAAAAGCCGTTTTTATTGTTTTAAATGGTTGTGTGAATAAGCTTATTTTCGTTATTTGCACGACGGTCGTGCGTATAAGCTTATTTTCGTTATTTGCACGACGGTCGTGCGAATAGACTCGGCCCCTTTTTTTAAAAAAATTTAATTTATCATTTTTATTATGCGACAGAATTTTTATTATTGCGACAAAATACAAATTTCGTACGTAAAATATTATTTGGGTTACAATTTTAATTACTTTATTTTAGTTTATTTTATTTGAGTTGTTTTAGTTGGGTTACAATATTTAGGGTAGTTGACATTTTTTTTTCCCGTCAACTTTATGAAGTCAGACGAGAATCTTATAGCGTATTTTAAAATCTATCTGCATTTTAAAATCTACCGTTATATTTCATTGTTTCTTTCTTAAATCAGTTTCTGCGGCTTTGCTTTGATATTGGAAAAAAAAAAACGAAATATTACGTAGTTTTAGGGGGTTAAATGGTTTATTTTCTAGCATTTAAAAGAAACTTAAATTAGTTTTTTAGTAGCGTTATAACTAAAAAAGAAAAAAAAAAGAATTTAGAGTAGGAAATAAATTTATTTTTGTATATACATTTTATTTAAGTGCTCATTTTTAATAAAAGCAGTTTATTACCCCTATCATTAAAAAAAAAAATGTTAAAAATCAATTTAACAAGTTCTCTAGTCTGATTTTTCAAACTTCGCACATTAAAGTCACACGATTTCGCTTAGGTTATACTTATTATACAAGGTTCAAACTGATTTTTTTTAATTAAGAGAATAGCAAGAAAATCTTTTTTTTTTTTGTTTTAATAAAATTATTTATATGATTACATTTTTGTTTATTTGTGTGTTTTTATACATCATCTAAAAATAGAATATATAAACAAATAAATTAAAAAAATTTAAATAGTTTTAATAAAACATTAAGAAAAAGATAATTTTTTTTTTTTTTTAATTTCTTCTAATATAAAAAATTTTAGTTAGAACCTTGTCAAACCAACACGACAAATTATTATGAACCTACATATTTGCGTCATCATATGAAAATTAGGCATATAAGTACGGTCTCGATGTCGTTTTTTTTTTGATAAAGGTTACACGCATTGTCCCAAAACGTTTCAATGTGGATAAACTATCATCTGTTTTATACTTCCATGATGTACTAAACCAGAGGTGGATCCAGTATTTTTTGTGTTTGAGATAGCTAACTTCCAGATATGGAGCGGACTCCAAATATTTGTATGTTTATACTTATGTCAAATAATTATACTTTGCTTAAAATTGCATAGACTGGGAACAAAAAAAATTTATGCAACTTAAAACTTATCGATGAATATAAGTCTAATTGAGAATTGAAGAAAAGATATTCAATCATCATGTTGTCCTCACGTTTTAATTGAATTATGATAAATATAATGGTATTTTTTGTTCCTTGACTTCCATTCATCGCAATTTTTTGCAAAGCATTATTATTTGACATAAGTATAAACATAAAGATGTTTGGAGTTTTTCTGATTTTTTACCATTTTTAAGTTTGTTTAAACGGAAAGTTCGATTCTAATTATTGTAACACTTTGTAAGTTACAGTGTTCGGTACATTGATATTTTTTTTGCATTTACCTTTTTTGACATTTTTTTTTTGGTAAAAGCTTAACTTTAAATACTACGTACGTCTGAAGCCAAAAGTATACGTTTTAAATACGTTTTAATGCGTATTTGAACTTAAAAGCTTATATTTAAGGTTAAAATAGGTTCTTTATCGTATTTTAAAATTCTTTTAAGCTTTGCAACAAAAATATTTTTTATAACAAAAAAGTGTAACAAAGATTTGTATCAATTTTTTTATACATCACTTGAAAGGAGATGTTTGTGGGGAATGATATATTGATTTAAACTATGTTTAAAATGAACACAACAATATAATAAGCCAAATAACTCAATACAAATATACAATGTTTTAAAAATAAGTTCAAATGAAAATACATTATTTAAAAATAGTTATACTCAAATCTCTGTTTTTAACAGTGGAGTGAGGGTGAGGGGGATAAAAATGCTCATGGTAAATAATTTTTTTTTTATTAACTGTGTAGGAAGGCCTAATATATATATATTTTTTTATGTTTCTTGTATTTTTTAATCACAATACATTATAATCACAATACTTTTGTTAGGTATACTTTACATTAGAATGTATTTTTTCTAGCAAGTTATAATTTTTTTAAATTATCTCATAAAAAAGTGAGCATGTAATGCTAAAGTTCAATTTGCAGTTCAGCAAGGCACGTACCATGAACTCC